TTACATCTCAACCTAATGTTTGGTGTTGTTTTTTTTTAAATAAACTGTTTTAAATACCTACTTCAGAGAGCCTGGACAGAGCGCTGTAGCTTTCCTCTCACTATCTAAATAAGGCCTCTAACAATGTTATCAGTTTTCAAAACACATCTGTCCCCCAGCTCCCAGCCCAGACAATTGGCAGGTAACCAGTTAATAAATGTCTTCGCCAGACTGTTGAATAGGCTGGCCCCAGCTCAAGAGTGATGTCAGGGCCATTCAATGCACTATAATTGGAAAAACCTGGGAAAAGCAATCCCATGTTTTCAATAAATAACGAGTGTATTAGCAGCCTCCTGCTTTTATTCACCATGGTATCTACCTTGTTCGGTAGCAAAGTGAGATTTTTTTTTTTTCCTGCTGCCACTCATTCAGTGATTTCTATTTGGAATTTGATGCCAGTTTCCAGATGTGTCTCAGGCCAGGAAGTCAACAATCGGCCTGGATAAAGCCTCTGGGATTAGCTACAGATCATCTTCTAACACACACATCCTTCCTGCACCCTCTCTTATGATACTGGGGCACACCCCCTTGCACCCAAAAATAAAACAAAACAACCCAGAGTCGAGCAAAAGCCCCTGACTAGGATGCTTTGATCATTTTCATATTACATATGGGGGAATATAATTAATTAATTCAGTCCATCAAAGCCCCAGAGGCACCATTTGAGAGATCTTTGCACCGGAGTGTTTATATACATAAATCACTTTAACAATTGCAGGTTCTTTGTCTGATGGAGCAGCTTCAGGCAAAGCTTATCTCCCACAGCTCCTCACCAGTGGTACCCGCAGGAGAGCATCAACTCTCCAGCTCAGCCACAGAACACTGGAGGGGGATGAATCTTCCAAAGCACTTGCCCTCAGAGGAAGAAGTGAAGATGATAAATGAGTTTTCTGGGCTCTGTGTGAGCAGCTTTGGGAAGCTAAAACTCAAGTGGGTGACAAGAAGGATGTGGTTTGCATGGAAAATAATCACAAGCAGAAGCACCCCGACAGCAACATGCCTTTCAAACCTCCCTATGCCCCTGAGAAATGAACCACTCAGATTTCCCAGTCAGGAGGAAAGGGCTTAGCCCCACACAGACAGGCTCCACGCTTGCCCCAGCCACATGGTACCGTCTGCTGCAGGACAGGGGGGATCCCAGCCCAAGGGGACACAATTACTGAATTACCAACAAAATAATTTATTGTTTTCTCCCCCAGGCATTTAAGAAGCTGCTGTCGGGCCCCTTTTGCTCATGTTGTGATTCCTTTCATCTCTCCATCAAAGCACAGCCAAATTAACACCAGCCCTCCTCCCAGTGATCGCCCCCCATGCGCTCCCACAGCCGCTCTGCTTTAACAGGGCACCTGGGAGCCACTGCCAAAACAGGAAAGCAGGCGCCTAATTGAAAGGGAGTATTTGGGAGTCACCCTACACAAAAATTAGCAGAGATATGCTAGGAAAATAAAAGAGTGGGCATTAACGGACAGCTTATCTTCTTTTTCCGTGACTCTAACGTTCGGGACATGAAAAGGCCAAAAAGTTTCACATACTGTTCTAAGGAGCTGGTCAGGGATAGGAGCATCCTCTCCTCTGCGTTCACTGCTCCTCCCAGAATAACTTGGGCTGATTTTGAGGTAAGGACCTCCAGGATTAAAATGCAGATGTACACAAGCCAAAAAATCCCTGCTACTATGAACATTTGTAGCAAGTGCTGGGTCTTGCTTATGGGTTGAGAAGTTGAGCACAGACTGATTTCAATTCACCTGTGTTAGGTTTGATATAAACAGTAACCTGTGCCTAGGGATAAAGAGAATATAGATGTCTTCTGTCTGAAGGAAGGACCATTGGGGTCTCTGTTTATGGAGGGGGCCTGAATTTTAAGATGAGTGGCCAGAGACAGCTCAATGAGGCTCGTTTTCAGACAGAACAGGGAGCTCCTCTGCTCGCTACCCACCCTTGGCTGAGATCCTAGCCTGGGACTGTGACCCAGCCCCAGGGGAAGTGCCAGCTGGAGCCAAGGGAGGATTTAGGACTAACTCCAAAACATCAGCCAGTCCCACCCCATCCTGCGGGCAGCCTGTGGAAAGGAGCAAAGCCCTCGGGGCCAGACAGAGGGACAGGGCAGGCTGGCAGGGAGCCGGCAGTCCCAGCGGGGTCAGCAGCATCTGGAGAAGCGACCCAGAGCATTCCCTGTCTGCTGGAGCTGCTCAGTTCCTCCGGCCCCAGCTCCAGACTGAAGGAGCCTGGCTGGCTTTGGAGCGGGAGCAAGCCACGGCAAGAGAGAGGAAAAAAAGGAGAAAAAGCAGCGGGAAGCCCTGCTGAGAAGCCCCCTTTTGTGTAAACATGCTCCGTCCTCAGACTAAAAATAAAGGCAAACCACAGGAAGGGAGTGAGTGCTTGGACAATATCCGATTTGGTGTGTGCCTGGGTGTGAGCTGCGGGAACAGGGAGAAGAGCAGGGGACTCCACCCAGAGCAACCACACAAAGGCAGCCGGTTAAGACCTTCAAGATGGACAGGCATTCCTGGAGATTATTTAAATCCAAATAACTGCTGCTTGGCAGATGTGCGGTCCTTTGGTATGTGTGCAGCACTTGGAAGCACTAAGTGAGGGAAAAGGCTGCCATGACAGGAGCAGGAAAGGCAGGATAACAGCACATGGCCCATTTTACAGGTTCCGAGACTGCAACCTGAGGCTGTGAACTGAAAGCCCATAAACCTGCCATAAAAAAAGGACACAACCCAGAAAAGATGTCAGCTGAAATCCAGCTCAGAGGTCTGTCCTCAAAAACTACCTCTCCCTGCACGCTCAGTCCCCGCTGCAGCCACAGAACCACACTCAAAACAACTGCATGCTTGTGAGGGCTGTGGAGAGATGATTAGTGGACTGCTCACCTCAAAGGGGTCTCAAATGCTTCCCCAAGTGCTGGGCTTTGATGCATTGCACTCCACCATTGCCATCAGCTGGCTTCTGAGGAGGAAGCTTCACTGACACCTGCATGTCCCACCTGCAGCCCTCTTGCAGGAGGGATGCTTTGCTGGTGGGGGCAATTGCACTGGAAAGAAGAATCCATCCATCCATACAGCGTGAGGAGGCTCCTCAGAGCCCAGCGCTCACCGTTGGTGCTGACACACCACTCAGAGGCCTTCTGGGGAAATGCAGGGCTCGAGAGGATCCCACCGCCCAGCCTGGAGGGAAAACGCACTCTCACCGGGAAGCGGTCTGTGAAAGCAGAGAAACCCTCAACTCTCCCTGCCAGCTGTATGGCCGCAGGTCCCACTGTATGGGCAGAACTGCTCTGGGGTACTTGCATTTGGGGCTTGGATCTGGCCACCATCAGCCCAATGTCCTTCCACCCACTGGAAGCCCTCCTCTCTTTGGTCAGCTGTGGCTAAACTGCAGCATCTGCAATGCTCAGCCACCTCGTTTCCCTTCCTTTCTCTATTTTCTGTCAGAAGAAAATGACATAGTGCTCACCAGTGGAGGAAATCAAAGACAACTATGTTGACCTCAACTTGGGCATGTTTCCTGCTGATGTCTGCATTCCTCTAATTCTCGCCTCCTGGGGCCATGTTCACTTTCCTACCATCAGGCCTCACCTTGAGTATTCATTTTTCTTTACTATCATAAAGGTCTCCTACGAGCACAACCAAAATGCAAAACCCCTCCATTTACTTTAGAAAACAACTTCCAATGAAACACAGCTGTTTGGAGCAGCTCATTTGCTTTCTCTGCAAAACAGGCCACAGCAACAACCGTCCTTGCTTCACTTTCATTCACAAGTACTGCTGAAACTTTCACAGGCTTCCATTTGGGGCATTTCTTACATGCTAAATATAAGGCTCTTTCCATAAGGCTCTTTCTATAAGTGTCTTTCCATAATGCTCTGTCTTACAGGGGAGCAGCTGCTTCTGTCCCCGTGCCGTGCCACATCGTCCTCACACACTGTACCAGCAGCACGAAACAAAACAGCAGCATGAAAGACAGCAGTGCCATCAGTGCTATGAGTACCCACATGACTCACCTCCTGCCACCTGGCTCAGCGGCTGAATCACAGCTATCAATCAAAACTGAAGATCTTTCCTTTAAACTCACTGTAGGAGGTCACTTGCAACCCCCCAAGGTGCTGCTGGACACAGAGGAAGCCAAGAAAAAGGTGACACCTTCTGTTTACTCAGCTAATTACACTTATTGCTGGAGTGGCTGCTGCGGCACTTGTAGGCTGCTTCCACAGCAACAACCCACGCCTTCAGTTGTGTTTCCCAGCGAACACTTCTTGGGAACGCAGACGGAGGGAGGGGAAGGGGGCTTGAGGTGCGAGAAGGGCTGCACTGAACCTCTGCCTTGCCCAAGCTGGAGCCATCACTGCTGGCTGACCTCAGTCTGGGAAAAGTTAACAGGAGAACTCACACTCACAGCTCCTTGAAACCCAAGCAGTCACCTGCCCTCACCCAGCTCCCTCCTTATCTCCCCAGCATGACCCTGGACAGCAGATCCAGTGGTGTGCAGCCTGGGGCCAGCACTGGTGGCACAGCCAGCACAGGCAGGGTCTAAGTGACCTCAGAGGACTCCAGGAGAAAATCTTCTTATCTCAAAGTCACAACCCTCCGTTTTCATGGGCACAATGCTTAATGCTGAGTTAGGCAGCAGAAGGCAACAAAGAGCAACTGCAAACACAGATACTCTCTGTTGTTAGAAAATCTCTGACTACAGTACAACAAGCACACACATTGAGAGCTGAATTCCCGAGGTTAAACACCTAAATTATAGGACATCTTCAGTCATGCTCTGGAAATACTTACTTCCTTGCAAAATTATTGGTTGCCTCTAAAAGATCAGTGCCAAAGGACAAGGGATACATCTGGAAGCTCTGAACTCTACCTCTGCCCAAGTGTGTGTAACTTCACAAACCCAAATGATGAGAAAACCCCAGGAAATTAACACCTCCTGACCTCAATGCAATAAACCCCCAGTTTTACCTGGATCAAGGTGTGTAAAGGACCCAATGACAAAGTCCAGTGTTGAAACAGCCAGCAGGAAGAGCAGCAGGAGCTGGAGCCTGATGATCCATTTCACCCCAGCCAGGTTGATCCCCTGCAGGCCAAACAGGACAGCCAGGGAGATCCCACGCACTGCCCAGATGTTGCTGAGGCTCAGGACATCTGCAATGGACTCTGCAAAGCCAGTGATGTACATGGCACCTGCAACACACTGAGGGACAGGGCTCTGTGAGTGCCCCATGGCAGAAAAGGAATCCCCATGCCAGGCTTGGGGATCTCTGTTCAGACAAACAGACATTTGCTGCCACAATACAATGCTTTTGATGTTACTCTGGCCTACAGGGACTGAACCTTATTGCTCTAGGACAGCATAGCTACAGCCTGGGCAGACAGAGAAGGATTGGTGTTAGCCCCGCAGCAACATTCCACTGGCTTTAAAATTTACCCTCCATTAACACTCCAGGAGAAACCACACTGGCTTCTCTGAGGGAGAAAAGGATGAGTCAACCTCTACGTCTCCTCTCTTCTTCTGTTTCTCTGGAGGAAAGGGTCCCGGTTCAACACCTGTCTGAAGAATTGCAGTTTGTTTGCCCCTTCATTGCCTTCCAGGGGTTATTTTTAACTCAATGTTTAGTTTGGATGTAAAAAAAGATGCTTCACTGGCTCCCCATCTTGTTGCTGGAACGGAGCCTGCACTTTAAAGAAGAGCACATTGTGCAAGCTGTGCCTCCCCCCAAGCTCTAGGGAAAGCTGCCTGTTTGTCTTGCAGCAGGGCAGGACACGCACTCTGCCCGGGGTGGCTGAGAGTCTGCAGGACAGGACATCTGCACACAGGCTCGGGCCTCAAACCCCACTGTGGGATAGCAATCTGAAATACCAGGACATTTCCTTCTAGAGGTTCCCACTAGCTGACACTTCAGCAACAACCCTTTCCAGTGCATGGCATCCCTGGAAAACCAACTCAGGGTTTGCTGGCATGCTGACATGAGTGGTATGAGCTTGGGTCCTGCAACCCCACTATCCCTGTTCACAGATGAGGGATGTGCAGCACAGCTCCCACATGCCTGGATGGGAGAAAACCCCCACCCAAGCCAGCAAGAGTGGAGCAGACCCCTCATTCACTGCAGATCCCCCACCTTGGACAGACCCAGCACTCCTCCACTGAGGGTGTTCAGAACAATCTGGGTCTATCCAGGAGATGCAGGTTCATGTGTGGTTTTCAGCAAGGTGCAGGGCATCCACCTGTCCAGACTCAGACACCTGCACCTTGGACATCCTGAAGGATTCACTTCCATCATAGGTAGACAACTAGCACAGATCAGGGGAACCAGACCCTGACTCTCTGCATCAGCAGCACGTGACCAGGCATTCCCCACTTGCCCCAGTCAGAGTAGGGAATAGGGAATACTCCACTTCTGGCTGGGCTTGTCTGATGATAGAAGTTACAGCACTCCACGAGCATCTTGTACCGGGGAGCAGCCTGCAGCTGGTGCAAAGCACGTTGGGCAAAAAGCACAGCCAAGAAGGGAAAGGCATCAGGTTTTGGGAGCAGGCAAAGTTCTTAACTGAGTTGCCAGCTCCCACCCTACACTCCCCCGTGCACATGAGATGCCTACACAGGGGCCAGCGCTGCCGCAGCCCAGCTTTTATGACCCTCAGGACAGGCTGCAACCTGATTGCTTTCCCAGACAGGGTCCTCTCAGAGAGCAGGAGTGGAAAATATGACAGGAAGGATTCTCATGTGTGGCCCATTTCCATATCTTGGCTTGTAACAAGGTTCAGTTTGTATTTTATGGACACTTGCTTTTAATCTGGAGCAAAAGGAGAAGAGGGGATTATTTTTGGTTTGGGGGTTATTAAGGGGTTTTGGAGATTGCTGTAAACCAGTCAGTTAAAAACAAACCTCCATAAAAATGCTTCTCTGCTCACCACATTTTATACTGTTCATAACGTCTTTATAGGGGGAGGGGGTTAAGTTACTGCAGGTTTAAGAGATTATTTTCCATTCTTTATGTGCACTACTTGTGTATTTTTGTGCTTCACCACCATGAAAGGTCCTTGGGATCTTTCAGAAAATCCAGAACTGTGACTTTTGGCTCACAAGAAGTGGCACTTACCACTGCCCAGCCCTCCTCCCACACCAGCTCCACTTCTACTGGCTCCTGCAGAGAAGCAGCCAAGGCTTGCCCGGTCCCTAAGGGCATGGGGAGCACACCAAGGCCAACCTGCCAGCCCACAGCTGCTCACTGAGCTTTAGGTGGCCACCCTGACTCTCCCACTTCAGTTTTATTTCAGTCTCCCGCCAGCAAGGGCATGTCCTGGCAATGGGGCTAATTTGGGATGGGAGAACATGTCCTGCATGGCTTGTTCAGACACACAACTCCTCCACCATTGTGACTCTTGCCAGACAGCACATTGTCATGCACAAGCTTACTCCTGGGGAGCAGAGTGGGGTTGAGTGCTCCCTGTGGTGGCCTCCCATGTTGCTCAGCAGAGTGAAGTGTTACCCAGATTTTACCTGGAGCATTGCTTCATGAGGCAGGAAAGCAAAGATTAATACCTGCATTGCAAAGTTTCTAAATTTTCTTTAAACAACTTTTTCAAATTACCTGGCCAAAAATGTAAAGGATGCCAATGGTCCCCGCTATTTGACCTCCAAGGACAGTAGAAATCATGGAGTAGACTCCTCCACTTCCAATGCTGCACTTTTCACACACTCCAATTCCAGACAAAACCGTCACCAGGGCAACCAGGATGACAAAGGACACCAGAAACATGCCCATTACAATGCCAGTGTTTCCCTGGAATGAAAAAAAAATAATCAAATAAAGATCAATTCACACCAACTCTGCTGAGATAGAAAAAGGACCTACCTGCCTCTAGTCACTAGTGATGTATGAATCTGGAGTCATTACAGATTAAAAGAAATGCACACAGATACCTCTAGTTGTCTAATTAACGTAACTGATTGCCAAGTTTACAGCTCCTATTAGCACCCCTTTGATGTAAACCTGTCTCAGCCTGGGGCTCAGCAGACCTTTACATGAGCTGGTTCTGCTCTGTCACAGAATCACACAGAATATGCTGAGTTGGAAGGGACCCACAAGGACCATTGTATCCAACTTTCAGCCCTGCACAAGACTTCTCCATGAATCACTGATTTTGTCCTCTGGTTTAAAGGGAATGAGGTCAAACAATGATTCAGCCACCATAGGCAGGGGATCGCTGCCTACTTGCGTGGTTTAGAATGACATGCTTAAAAAAGCCACAAAACACTTTAATAACAAAAAGTAGTTTCAAAACTGAACCCCTGGGATTTGCAAAAGCTGATTTATTAACAGCACCAAGCTCGTATTTTAATTTTTCAGAAAATTTACCTCTGAAAGCTCTGATCCTCCCAAACAATGAGATCCCAAAGAACAAAACCCCAAAGGCAACACAGCATGGAAGATAAATAACAGTCTCATAAACCAGCATATGCCAGTCCTTATCTGAGGGACGTACACAGAGTGACAGGTGGCCCTCGCCCTCCATGGGCTCGGGGGAGTTTTGTGCACAGGATTCAGCCCCGCTGAAAAAAAAACAGCCCTTCCTGCTTGCGGCAGAGGGAGGGCCCCGGGAGGAGCTGCTGCACCAGCCACGGTCTCAGTGTGGGGTATAGAGCAAAAGCCTCTGAACAAACACAGCTGCAGGTCCCTGTTGGCAGCGTGAAGGGCCAGCATAACCCACTTTTTGGGGTGTTCGGTTTGCCATTTAGAGGTGGATTTTCAGAAGGAGAAGGTGCTTAGCACCTCCAAAAGCACTTAAGGACCTCTTCTGAGCTCGGGATCCTGCCACCCTCCTACCCCCTCGCACACGGCTGTAATTTCTTTTCCAGGGTCAGAAGTTCTCCCTCGTGCTCCAGCCCACCTTCCTCTGCTGACAAATCACTCAGACCAGCGCACAGCAATCAGAAATCTCCTCCAGTGCCCAGCACTGTTAAGGTCTGGCTTCCCTTCCCTGCCTTTACTCATATTACAGGACATGTCCACATCCCCCCTTTCCAGCCTTGCTCCAGCAGTGCTCATCTTTGAGGTCACACTAGCCGTGATGGGGTTTGTTTATCACCAGCACTAAAAGGCTGCCTCCCTGCTCTGGGGTTGGTTGAAATCCCAGATTTTTTTTTTCTTTTCTGTTTTTTGTGAAAAAAAAGAAACATATCCAGGATGTTGCTATCATCATAAAATCCTATTTTGGTTCAGCATCCTGCTGCCTTTGACAGGGGTGTTATCTGGTCAGTGGGGAACAGAGCCAAGGTTTGCTATAAATGCAGCATAAACGCAGCTGTGGCTGGGTCAGCACCACAGCCCACTCCAACTCCATATTCCTTTTTAAAAGGACAATTGTTCTTTTTTTTTCAACTGCTTACCCTCAGGTTAAAGGGTTAATAAATCTGACATGCTTCAGTTAAAAAAAAAAAAAAAAAGGCAAAAATATGCAATTCATGTAGCCTTGGGCTTTTCCAGAAAGTGCTGGTGATACAAGGCTATGGCAGCAGTTAGTTAATGGGCAATCCAATGGTTTCCAAAGAAGAAAGGGTTAACATCAAGACCCGAGGAGGAAGGCTGGACTCACAGCAACAATAGCAAGCAGAGAAAGTGGGAAAAAAAAGCCCCCATTAAATGCTGATGCTTATTTATGCATGCGCCAGAAGGGGTTAGTGCAGCAACTATCCTTGTCAACATTCAGGCAAGATTAGGGTCCCCTGCAACTGCAAAGCTGCAACAGCCCGGGCTCCAGCCCTGGAAATTTATAGCAAAAGCCTGACTGTGAACAGCTCGATGTATGACTGTCCTCTGCCAGGGGAGCTCTCTGCCAACCTCAGTTTCTCCTCCCTTCCCTTTCATGCTAACTTCCAGCTGGTTCAGTTTTTCTTTTATTTACTGGCTTTATTTTTATCTGTGTTTGGTCCAGCAATAACTTACTTTCAAAGGAGATGTGGAGGAAATAAAATCAGAAGGAAAAGGAAGGTAGAAAATCATCCCAACTTCTTCAACACAATGACTGCAGCTCCCCTCAACACCTCCAGAGCAGTAATTTTCAATACAAAGTGTCCTCTTGGTCCTTTCGGAAGGCGTTCACCATGCCCGTGACATTAACTCATGCCTGTGACATGAACTCTGCCTGAAGCTCAAATCCCATCCATCCCTGGGGGAGCTTTCCTTATTCTAAGAGGAAATATTAAGGGATAATACAACATTTTTCATCATGAGGGGAGCAGGGACACTCTTCCAGGCTCTGACTCTCAGTGAGATATTATTCTGGATCCAGAACTGAAATTCTCTTTGATAGCAATGACAATTTCAACTGACTGAGGACTCCCTGTTCAAGAAATCAGGGACTCAATCACTGATGCATTTAGAAGAGATCTGCTCCAGTGAACTACGGTGATACACTTCACCTGAAAAGTGGTTATTCTGTCTTGACAATACAACACAAGGATGTCCCTGTTCATTGTCAAGGTTGTTTGTTGTGTTTTAATTTTTCTTTCCAAAAGCTAAAATAGGAAACCACTCACAAAAACCACTTCAGCTTTACATTTTACCAGAACTTCTTCAAAAGCTACAAAATACCAGAGGGCATAAGCAATGTTTACAACAAACAGCCCAGAATCCAAAACACTTGGGTGGTGATGTAAGTAAGGAGGTGTGAAGGAAAATGTCTATTCAAACGTCCAGCCAAGTCAGCACTCACTCACCACGAGCCATCCTGTCCTCAGGAAAAGAACCACTCCAAAAATGTTGATCATGCAGGAGGTGAAGACGCCATCCCATGTTCCAAAAAGCACCGGCTCCCATACAAACAGCTGGATCTTCCACCAGGGCTTGGTCTCTGTTTGAGATACCTAGAGAAAGCAAAGCCTTGGTTTTACCTCTCATGTTTTAAGGGCAGGCTGCAGAAGTGGTGCCACAGCCAGCCACCAACAGTGGGACAGCCACCAACAGCTGCTAAGGCAGCCCTTTGCTGCAAGCTGCCTTTAAGATAAAGGGGCAGTAGGGCTGTTGGGATCCCTGGGCCCTGAAAGAGAATGTTCCCTGCAATACCCTATTTATATTCTTGTAGGATAAGCAGCAACAGAGTCCCACTCAGGCTCAATGAATTAACCCCATTACATGAACCAAAACCATCATTCAAGGGTCCTTTACAGACCCTGCAGCTGTACTGAGTTTCTCCTCCTGTCCCTGCCAAACACCCCACTAAGGCAAGCAGGATCCTTGGTGCATGGGAGAAGTCTCTTACAGGAGATGACAAACCAGGTAAGACCAGCTGGGACCAACAGAGCAGATTAAGATGGTCTTCCCATCACAGTCATCTCTGATAAGGTCACTTTGTTTCTAGAGGAGACACAGGACTCTGGTACTTGGGGGCACAGTGAATTTCAGAATTGCTGGAACTGAGACCTGAAACTCCAGGGAAATGAGAGTTTTCCTATGGCAACCGCTCCCTCTGACCTCTTTCCCTTTGTAAATAATACACCTCAGATTTACATATCCAAACAAAGGGCAGTGTCATTACTTTGGTCCTGTTTGATTCCCACAGAGGTGACCAGGAGGAGTGCAGAGACCATGGAGATGGAAATTTGGGAAAGGAAATGGCTCTCTGACATACCTGCTGTGCTTCCTCATGGAAGAGCTCTTGGACATAACCCTCACTTTGGGGAGCATTCAGGCTGAACATCATATCCTTCGTGTTGGCTCCGCCTGCCCAATGCACAGCTCCAAAACAATCACAGGCTAGGCCGATCCAAGTGGAAAGTCAGCTATTCCTCTCAGTCAAATTCCTGCAGTGCGGGATCCTCCATTGTAGAAGATTCATGGTTTTATTGCACTTTACTGTGAAAGCAGGAAAGACAGAAGACACGACTGCTGCTTTCTCAGTCTGCCAAAGCACAAGGCCATTACCCACAGGGAATCAACAGCAGCTCACAGCAGATGCTGAACCACAGCCCTTGGTGGCCTTTCCTGAATCTATCCACACCCCTGGCGTCCCCAGCATCCTGTAGCATCGCTGTGTGTTGCCTGCAAAATGCATTTCCTCTCCTTGGTTTTAAATCTGGTGCCTGGTAATTTCATTGCATGGCCCCGTGCTCCAGTGACAGAGGACACATGGATTATTCACTTCCCAGCACCACCAATCACTTCACAGCCTTGATCACATCTCCTCCAGCTGTACCTTTTGCAGACTAGGGTCCTGCCAATGTAACCTCACCCCTGAGAAGTGAGTTACCTCACTCTGCCCCTCTCCCAGCACGATGCAGAGATGAAACTGGAGCAAATTGCTGGTTCCTTCTCTCATCAGGTTGTCTTTAAAATTGAGTTCTCTCTCTAATAATAGAGGGGTACATTTGTACACCTCCCTCCAGCTGGCTGCAAGTCTTAACTTCCCCCAAATTTTCTTGTGAGGGCCATCAACAAGCCACCCACAGCCTCCCTTACCAGTTGTCAACAGAGCCTTTTTGGCCATTCCTCAGTACAGCTACACCATGCCTAAGCAAGACAAAGAGGGTTGCAGCCAGAGGGGAGCAAGCTCCATGACTGTGGAGAGGGAGGTTTGTCTGGATCGTTGGCTCTCCTGGGGATGGTAAGTTTCCTGGTAAGTTGAGCTTACATGCTTAAAAGAACCAACCATGATCACAGAAGGCTTGTACCAATGGCTGGACACCTTACCTGAGACCAAATTAATTATGGGCACAGTGTAGGAATCTCTGACTCCTCAAGCTTGCAAACTGTGGAGACAAAGCAACCCACAGAAATGTACTTTTCCTATTGCACAGGGACAGAGACATACAGACACTGCTTTGTGTCACTCAGGATTTCTGCATCAGTCTGAATCCCAGCTCCCAGATCAGCACTTTCACCATCCTGCCCTTATTACCCTACTTTGAAATACCCAATAGTAAATACCCAAAGCAGATGCTGCTCCACCACTGTGTTTCAGCTGCAGAAGGTCTCCTACAGCTGCGGTACAATGGTCAGCACAGGAGGTTTTTCTTCGCCCTGCCCACGTGGCCAGTTAAGCAGCATCAAATCTATAAGAGTTCATTGATTCCCTGCTGCTTCCTCCACATTTTTTGAAGCAAATAACCCCTCACAATATCATAAATGGTTGCTGTTACAGAGAGATTGGGGCTTCAAGCAGGGCAAAAGCAGCAGGAGCAGATAAACTCCAAAGAAACCAAGCTCGTGTTTTTATGCAAATAGCCACAATAATAAAAAATGGAAGAAAATACACAACGTGAAAAAAGATTACAACTGAATAGCCATATTCTCCTAAGATTCCCCAGTGCAGCCCTTCCTCAATAGAGACTTCACTCAGTAAAGCAGTCACTGGGGCCATCCAAACTCCAGTCTGCCACAGCAATCCTGTCCGGATGCAGGAAAACAGGGAGGCTGCAGCCTTGCAGCCCCTTGCTCTCCTAAACCACTCCACCAAGGGACCCCAGGAGGACATGGCCCTGACCCCTTGCAGTGGCTCAGAGTGGCTGAAGCCACTCACTCAGCGTGCCCAGTGTGTAACCACGTGTAGGTTTGATACACCCTATTACCCACCTGAAACTTGCAAAATACAGAAAGAAGGGCTGCACGCAGGGAGTTCAGACCTGAAACACACCTCGCAAGACATTCTACCTTCCTAGACATTTAAATCCCCTTACCCCACCATTTCCTTCCTTTTTCTCTGCATTAACACCCATCTCCTGCCCTGTGCTCTGGAGCCCTCTCTGCTCAGCCCTGCTCCTGCTCACCTCGGTGTAAGATCTTTCTCCTCCACAATCTCAGGAAATTGCCTCTCCGCTATTGCTCCTCTGTGGCATTTCCAACTGCCTGAAATCTTTTTACTCAATTCTGTAATTATTTACATCCCTCCACAACGCATGGATCCATTCATCCCTAGGAGGCAACCGAAGCAAACACAGGAGGGGGTACAAAGCGCAGAAGCGAGAGCTGAACAAACATGCCAGGACGGCCGCTGCACACGCAGCCACAACCCGATCCATGCAACATGCTCGTATTTTTTGCAATTTAGGGTCTGCAAGTGAAAAGTCCTTGTGGCAGGAGCCCCTCTCTTGCCCCATGCAGTACTGTCCCAGCGCAGCGTGGTTCCTAAGCTGCTGAACAGCACAGCGATGTTTTTGTGTGCTGTTATCTATCCAGGTCACCAACCCTGAGGAAGCTTTTTCTGCTATACACACCAGCAGGCCAAATAAACCAAACAGGCACAATTTAATATAAGTGAGCCTCTAGCTTGGGAGATAATTGATGTTATTTTTCCTAAAGTTCCTGCCAAATACACTTACCAGTCTATAAATTAAAGACGAATGGCTGTTTTAATCTTTCCATACCATTTAGCATTCAAGAGAGCAGAAGAGCATTAGCAAACCTTGCAAAAACATTACAAAGGCTCATCTCCTTTCCCTGCAACACTTCTATATTTAATTACAAACCCAGATTCCTATAGATCAAATTTCTGTGCCCTCCACATCCTTTCAAAGCACTATTTTATTAATCACATTAAAGCTATTTCTGAGCTAAGCGTCGCTCCTCTGAGCTACTCAACAGCTGGCTGATTTTTAAGAGGAAAGGTTAACGCCTTCCCAAGCACAACTGCGTGTGGTCCCACGACCTCCGAAGGCTCTGTCCTTGCCAGAGGAGGTAATTCCAAAGCCTCCCTCCCTCAAGGGACCCAGCAGCCAACAGCACTTTAGTTTTAATAAATCCCCCCAACTCTTCTCCAGGTCAAGTTCTTAAAAACACCTAATTTAGGCGACTCTTAGGAAGGCGGGAAGTAGAAGGAAATAAAGCGGCTACCACTGCAACGAAGGTAACGCCGCACAGAGCAGCTCTTGGCTATTCCCAGTTACTCATTTACTGCACCAGCTCGTTATGTTTTCACATATCTCTGTAGTGTAACGAAGGCTGTGGAACACCACAGGTGGGGAAACAAGCCCGGGCTCTCCCCAACAACTTCAATTTCCCGGTGTGGCCGGACGGCTTCGGTTTTGCAGAGGGCGCGGCGTTGCCAACACCTCCCTGCCAAGGGCTGCGGCCGCCGCCGCACCGCGCTGCCCACCCTGCCCGGAGAGCGCTCCAACTACCTGTTCCCTCTTCTTTTTTTTTTTTCCTTTTTCTTTTTTAAAAGGTTTTTTCGCCTTCTTCCCCCCCACTTTTCTTTTGTCTTCCCCCCCCCTTTTTTTGTACTTTTTTCTTTTGTCCTTTTTTTTTTACCTTTTTTCCTTTTTTTATTTTTTTTTACCTTTTTTTCTAAAGGTTTTTTTTTACACACCCCCCCCATTCATTTGCCCTTTTTTTTTTTTTTGCCTTTTTTGGGCCCCCTTTTCCACCTCCGCCCCCCCACCCCAATGGCTTTGATTCTTTAGCTTCTCTTTCCCCCGTTTACTTCCCCCTCACCCCGCGCCGCCTCCGCCCCGACGGAGCCGCCGCAACGCCGCGGCCAGAGGGACCAGCGGGCAAAGCACCACCTGCGCCGTCCCCATCGCTCAGGTTTGTGCCCCCCCGGCCCGAGGGTGTCCCCGCCGCCCCGGCTCCACTCACCTGGCGGCTCCCGGACCCTCCCTCCCTCCTTCCCGCGGCCGCCGCCCCCCGCCCGCGCTCCCGCGGCGCCGCCTCCCGCCGGGGCGGCCCCGGGCGCTGCCACGTCTGCCCGGGCACCGCGCCCGCCCCCGCGGCTGCATCTGCATCTGCCCGGCTCGGGCAGGTCCCACCCGGGCCCGTCGGACACACGCCGGGTGCTGCTTCCCGGAGCGCCGAGACCCCGCAGCGCCCGCGGCGGCGGCACGAGCACGGCAGGGTGTGGGAAACTATTGAGGGTTTAGGAGCAGACTTCCACTAAATCTGCTGTTCTCAGGAGTCTGATAAAAAATAAAAATAAAAAATAAATAACCAAATTGATACAGCTGCTCGGTTGCGGTAGGAGGAAACGCTTGGCCACAGGGAAAGGGGACTCTGATTCCGCACATCTCGGTCTCGATAGGAACTCGCTCCAGCGTAACTTCTCAGCCCTGGGCTGCCAAGAAATTCTGTGACCTTGCATAGGCAAAACTCCATCTGAATTAAAGGCATGAAGTTTGGACAGTCTCGATGTTAACAGGATCAAATCTAGAGCCAGCTCATGCAGCATTCACAGATTTCATTTACTTCTAAAATGTGTTAGGGCCATTTTAATTTTCAATAAAGTACCTACAAAAGACATCCATGTAGCCTAGTGAACCCACTTTGATTTTCCAGAGTGTCCTGCAGGGCAAAGTGTAAACAAGCCTTCACTCTTGGATGGAAACAGCAAGGACAAGCAAGTGGCAGAAAAGGAAAGGAAGAGTTCAGAGGAGACAGATGACTTCTCAAAGGAGGATGAAGCCTGAGGAAATCGTAGAATCACAGAATGGTTTGGGTTCAAGGGGATCTTAAAGATCATCCAGTTCCAATCCCCCTGCCATGGGCAGGGACACCTTCCACTATCCCAGGTTGTTCAGAGCTGCATCCAACCCGGCCTTGAACACTTCCAGGGTTGGGGCATCCACAGCTTCTCTGGGCAACCTGTGCCAGTGTCTCACCACCCTCACAGTAAAGAATTTCTTTCTTATATCTAATGTAAACCTGCCCTCCTTCAGTTTGAAGCTGTTCCCCCTTGTCCTGTCACTACATGCTCTTGTAAATAGTTTCTCTTCATCTTTCTTGTCAGCTCCCTTTCAGGTCCTGTAAGGCTGCAATTAGGTCACCCCTAAGCCTCCTTCCCAGACTGAACAATCCCAATTCTATGGGTATCTCCCCAGGATATTCCATTCCTGGAATATTTCAAAAGCTCTCCTGCAGCTCC